GTATATACAGAAATTAGCAGTATATAAAACCAGTAGTAGTTTTAAGTAGCTTTATGTTCACTAAAAGCTGTGCGGGCTCCAAACAACCATATTTCTCCTTTTCCTATTGATTTTCATCATTGTTTCCAAATCATATATGTAATTACCCAAAAACTTTTTCTTGCACAGTAATTTTCAAGTTAACTGCAATTGGAGGGATTACGGTATTTCCCATAGACGCTGACTGTGACGTAGCATTTTTCCCGCGGACGCCATATGACGTCACTACCATAATCTTGCTGTTCATCGACAACTTACTAATACTGACACGTTTGACGCCAGTATGACGTCATTACCGTAATCCTACTGACCAACGGTAACTTTCTAGTCCTGACATGTTTTGACAGAAGTTGATGTCAGTACATGTAATTCTGTTGTTTCTTTTATGGATGTAACTCGACTGAGACAGGTTCTATTTGACTAATGCCCCAGGCTGGAACCCAGGTAGACGTCACATGGGAAGCTCGAGCTTCAACTAGCTTTTTTACGGATCCCTGTCCCCGATGAATGATAGCTTCACTAATTCCTGTGGTTTAAAAGTCATTTCTGCAAACTCGACCCATTTGCTGCTTCTGAATTCCCATTCGAGAAGAACTCAGAAGCGACGAATGGACTGAAATTAGAATGAAACGGAGTTGTTACTGTTATGAATCTGGGCAATGTAGTTCCCGAAACTTCCTGCAGACATACCCAACGATTGAGCGTTTGTTTAGCGTGCCCATGCATGTACCTAGTTCTGATTAGTATTGTTTACCCCCTCTGGCCTTGAAAGTGCTCTTTTCTTCCGTTTTAATGCCCGAGGACGCCACGGGCTGCTTCAGGCGCTCTGTCTCTATCATCGTAAAAAAACATATTGGGCATCGTTCATTTGCTCCCAATGTTTTCGAACGAAAAACGAGATGAAGACGAAAATCTCCTAATTAGGGATAGCGAAGTCGTTACGGTATGCCTCTTGCATACGATTCTAACTCGTCATCAAGAGCAACAAGTAAGACTGGACTGATCGCAATGATCTTAAACCATCAGGACGGTTTTCTCAGCAACCATAACAGTGTCTGAAAAAAACGCTTGGCTTTCTTTTGATATTTCAAATTCAATTAGTTATTTGATGATGCAAGACACACTAATATATGTAGGCCATAAGTTTCTGATCAGAAAGAGAAGTACCGGTATACCCTTTTTTGCAAATATCTCAATGGATATCTTAACCGTCTTGATCCGCTATGTTCACGAGATTATGATAGTTAATTACAGATGTTTAAGCTGATCATTAACCGTTTCTTAATGACCGTATTATGAGTATTATGACTGACCCAACAACCGAGCAAGAAAATATGGCAACAGGTGCGGTCCGCTTCGACTGCTCAATACCCCGTGAGGTCACATTACGGTAGATATTGATTAGGTGCTGTTAGGGATTACGTCATTTTGGCTAAATGCCAATTACTACGATAAACAATGCATGTTCAGGCGTTTCACAGCAGTATGCCATTAATTGACAGCTATCTGATGCAAAGGTCATGGAGTTCATGGGAATTTGATAGGGCTGTGGTTACGGTAACACTGCTTGTCAACAAAGGGCCAGTCTCATCTCAGTGATTAACTGCGGGCAACTGGTAACTTGCATTACCACACCAAAAGTACCAAAGGCTCATTATACAGATTTTTCCCAGCACCAAGATGATCATACAAGAAAAAGTAGATCAAATCAGAAAATTAAGGGATATCCGTTTCCTGCTCAACTTCTTGCTGNCTTACACTTGCCTGAGAACTGTCAGATGCAATTCGAGTAGCATCGAGTGCTAATCGAGTAATTCGAGCCGANCGCTTCGACTGCTCAATACCCCGTGAGGTCACATTACGGTAGATATTGATTAGGTGCTGTTAGGGATTACGTCATTTTGGCTAAATGCCAATTACTACGATAAACAATGCATGTTCAGGCGTTTCACAGCAGTATGCCATTAATTGACAGCTATCTGATGCAAAGGTCATGGAGTTCATGGGAATTTGATAGGGCTGTGGTTACGGTAACACTGCTTGTCAACAAAGGGCCAGTCTCATCTCAGTGATTAACTGCGGGCAACTGGTAACTCATATTACCACACCAAAAGTAAAACCAAGGGCTAATCACACAGATTTTTCCTACCATCAAGATGATGATACAAGAAAAACTAGTTTAAATCAGAAAATGAAGAAATATCCGTTTCCTGCTCAACTTCTTGCTGGCTAGTGGTCCTTTCCGGAAATACTACCATTAGTTCTTGCTAACTCGAAGATTGAGACTTCAACAATAAGCTGACCAGGTTCTTATAAGTTGAATGGTTCCTTTCAGGTTGATCATTTTGAAGTAAACCATTCATACTACGAGATAACAGAAAAACGAGCAGCTCTTAAGCCTACAACAAGGTCCATTTCCTGCGGAAAAGTCCCACTTCTACTTCTAGAACCAGAACCTTTAAAAAAGCAAACATTCGTTTCGTTTCGATACTCCCCGATCATCCTTCCTTCTTTTCCTATTGTCCCGAAATGTTGGCCCAGTGCGATGAGCCTTAGTGAAGTGCTTAGCTTGAGTCTAAGAGCTTGATGTGCAGGTGGCAGTTGGCAATTAGCCAGGAAGTGTGCCGAGTGCAATCATTGTGTAAATAAGCAGAGCTAATATTGGGATTTGTGTGGATGATTGCACTGATTCCACTCGAGGTCATTAGCACGAGCAGTCTATATTTGACTAATAGGTACAGGCTGGAAGCAATGTTTTTGACGCTGCTAGTTGATGCTTCGAGATGGGGATATCTCGGGAATGGATCCTAATAGACATCATAATATTGTGTCAATAAGCAAAGGCTAACCGCAGAAGGTCACCGAGACCCATCCGAAAGCAGACGAGAGCCTCTGCTCCCTNGTGTAAATAAGCAGAGCTAATATTGGGATTTGTGTGGATGATTGCACTGATTCCACTCGAGGTCATTAGCACGAGCAGTCTATATTTGACTAATGGGTACAAGCTGGAAGCAATGTTTTTGACGCTGCTAGTTGATGCTTCGATTGGGGGATATCTCGGGAATGGGCCTTAATAGACATCATAATATTGTGTCAATACGCAAAGGCTAACCGCAGAAGGTCACTGAGACCCATCCGAAAGCAGACGAGAGCCTCTGCTCCCTCTGGACCTCCATCGCGTCCGTACATACTCACCAACACCGCAGATGTCGCTATTATAACGACATCATAATTGACAGTACGCTACGTAATACGTATTTCCTTTGTTCCGCTTGTGTGAAACTGATGGAGAGCGCCAGTCAGCCACTGAACTACCGCATAGTAACGCATATCTATCCGAAAATTACTCGGCTTTATAGACTTCTAGGTTAGGTGATCTTTGAACCTTGAAATTCGCCAAATTATCGTCCTCTAAGACTNTTGGTACCCTAAGGTCAAAAAACGTCTAATTTAGTTGTTATTTACAGTAGAGCTGTCACCGTGGGTTTCTCGGATTTCATCGGAACCCGTTTGATGTGGAGCTTCTCCCCAGTGGATCGAAATAGTATAATTACAGGAGATGGCCGTTCCAAACGCCCATAATCGGCGAATCAACGAGATTGCGTGTGTCATTGCTTCCTTTGATGTTGTCAGTAGCCGCCACAGACGCAGTGCAACGTCTCCATTTTCATGACCTCACAATCACTGAGCTTATGAATGCTCTCTTTTATTGCTTACTGATTTTATTAATGGATATCAGTCACGGTCTGTGTCATCAAACCTCTTTTTCTATGCTTTTCTGAGGAGTGTTTCAAGAAAAGGGAGAACTTCAATCTGTGAACGTGGACGACCGTAAGACCAGTGTATCGAATAGTATCAGTTATTTATCACTACTAAGATTAGTAGAACTTAGGATCAACCACCAACGAATCTTCTGCAATACCTTTGCGATCATCCCCATCCCCGCTACTTCATCGCTTCTGTAGTTGTTCAACCAACATAAGCAAGGAGTGTTCCATTATTGGCTCTGTGTTATTATTGCAAAGCCCAAATACTTGCTTTATGACCGAAAGCATCCCGTAACCTTCTTCCTTCAGGCTTCGTCCTAACAGACTAGCACTGACTGCATCCAGCTGAGTATCCTTCTCTTGTGAACATGGATATAGCTACACAGAGTTACCGCATTTGGCAAAGACCTCAAATCAAGAGGTAGAGAATGGTTTTAGGAGGATCAGGACAAATTACTCCGAGTTACAATTATTTTTGAGCAAACCATACTATTGGGTGATCGTTAGAATCGTAACCAAATCACCAAAGACATACATATGACGTGCCGATAGTGTTTAGTAAGACATCAGTGAGCTCCATCAGGTTTTACCACTACTTTTTACTGTGGAAATTTCTTACTCATGCTCCTAACCAGCTCTTACCAAACAGTCAAAACGTTAGGAAATATCAACATGATCCTTATTATTTTAGGTGTTTCGTTTACTCAGGAATCCTGACAAACAAGCTTAGGATGATGTAAGCTAATCAGCTAATCGCGTGCTATGTACCTAATGAACACAGGTGTCTGCCCATATCAACACCTGAACCGATGGATCAAATTTCCGGATCGACTGACACCTGCTGCACACACAAATGACAAAACACCGGAACACGCAGTAATGTCTACGAGATAACATTTAGGTATGTACTACACACTACAGATGTACTGGTACCCTTTTATTGTTCAACCAAAGAATCGACCAAACTATACCTCGTCGTTTTCCGCCATCGCTATATTTTATACATGTCCAATTAATCTGTCTCCCTCTCACAACAACCCGGTTATGGACATTTTCCACACACTTGAAAACATTCAACTGTTTTAGCCATTTTCTTGAGGAGTCAACATAAAAGAATCATTATTTATGTCATATTTATTTGTTCAGCATTGACTCGAAATACAGAGATATTTAAAGCGATCACAGGTACAGAGTTTACAGCCACGAACAGAAGTAGTTGTAGGTGGTTCTTATCCAAATACATTCCTGAACAAAATATTATTGAAAACGATATACATAAACATTGAACGGATATTTTTTGTGACCAAAATCATACCCGAACTCTTTTTTGAAAGTTATGCACAATAAAGATATGGGTTGAACAAACCTGTCTTTCTGCCGAAACCTTGTTGAACTCGTCATCAAAAACGTCGCAGTAATGGATGAGTCGCCTGGCTATTTCTTCGGAACGGCGGCCCTTTTCTTGTGATATATTGAAGTCACCTAAATTACAACATTGATTGATTTATAGTGAGCAGGCCTAATTTTACAGTAGTGAGGGTACAATACGTCCCTAGACAACAGATAAACTTACATTCATTTTTTCCGTCTCGAGATGAAGCGGTGAAAGGGGTGGAAAGACCAAAGCAGAGTTTGCGCTTGGCTTTTAGACCAATGCTGGAAAAGCACGGAGATGCGAATGACGGTGAAGGCTCCGTGCCTGTACAAGGCGAATTATAACCACTATCGCTCGACGACAAAAGTAGCATCCTAATGAATCTGCAAAATGAATGTTGCACTTCTATTCGAGAAATATCGAGAAATATCGTATACGCTTCAACTCATTCGAAAAAAGGCTGGAGAAGAGGCTTTCAATCCCAATTAAAAGTAAGGGTAAAACAAGTGAAAAGACCGAGCCGAGAAGCAACGACGGCAAGCTCTCTATGCGACGAGCTTGTGAATGAGCGCCAGTGAGGCTGCAACGTAGACCCCGCCTCCTACCGTACCCCGCGTAATCAAGACCGCTGGTAACAGGTTCAGCCCACAAGTGGTTGAATATTACTATAGTTCAGCGGAAAAGCTTAGAATAGGTTTTCTTCGAAGAATCATTTGGGATTAGGCGATGAAATGGTGGCTCGCCTACAGTTCTATGGTGGGATTTCTTCAATATCACAAACCCCTTTAAGAGGCTCACTTTAACCAACATTAAACCTACTTTAGGCTCGGCAAACCTGGGCAACCTGATGGAGAAGACAAAAAGATGGATTCTTCGAATCTTGTAAGCTTTCCTTGATATTTGAAAGCATACATGGTCGAGCCAAGCCATGGCGAGACTTATGTAATGTTAACTTTAGTGTGGCACTCTCCATACACTTGTCGTTCAGGGTCTTTGTGCAACCTCCTACACAACACTCTCTTACTCAACTACTAATCGAGCTGTGTGGGCTTCATGATACTACTAATAAGGTCTTAGCTGGAAGTTGCAATTCAGAAAATATTGATGATGAAGGAACTATCCAGAAGGTTTTTAGTGCTGGAGAGGCACGACGAACGTAATTCTACTTCTCCCTACTTCTTCATTGAAAGAGTGATCGCAACGGCGAACGTTTGGTGCCTGTTCGAGTCCTTAAAACCTGACCACCCGACGTAATCAACAATACTCCAACCATAGGACATATGTAAGAGTACCTCCGTCTTATATATTTCACCGTCAGTGTGCCCGAACTTTGTTAAGAAAGTTGGATGGCATGGATCAAATGCACATCCTGCTCACATAAAAGAGGTCAGCCTGAGACAAGCAGTAGGTTAGGAAGTACCGCAAATTCGCAAATCTTGGCTTTCATTTTGCATTTCCCCAATAATCTTGTGTGCTTCTCATACGGCTTTTTCTGCTACCGGTTTGAAGTCATGCTAATTCCATGCTAATTCACATTAGGGATACTGAAGTTTATGATTAGCCATTTTTGTAAGCCACGAAAGTACTTATACTTACCCGTATTTTAGCTTCAAAGCAACCGCAAAAGCGAAGGAAGCCCAGGAAGCCCGTAATTACGTTCTCATTTCAGCATA